CTCCATTTTTTCCCCCCTCCATAAAATAAAAATAGTTATCATCTTCCTTGGCAAAGCCTTGTGAGCTGGATGAGATAGACTGTCAAGTGCCGTATGTGGTGAAGGGAGTTGAAGTCCTGTTATTTTATGTAAGAAGGACTGAGCTCTTGAGGGGAAGGCTGGCAATTGCGTGAACACTGGACTGTCAGAAAAAATTCACTTATTTTGCTGCAAAAGATAAGGGATGTGGAGATGATAAAGGTGACTTCTGCTTCCAATGTGAGATAGACCAGCGGTCTTTGGCAGCAGTCTTTTTCCTTGCTCCTTCTACAGTCTGGTTAAAATAAGACAAATAATCTAATATCTCTTAATATGGAATTATAATTTAGAAAAGTATTTACATGAAAACATGAAAGGGAGAATTTATTTTAAAGTTTATTCATTTTTGAGAGAGAGCGTGCAGGGGAAGGTCAGGGAGAGAGGGGGATAGAGGATCTGAAGCGTGCTCTGTGCTGACAGCAGACACCCTGATGCGGGGTTTGAACCCACGAACCGTGAGATCATGCCTTGAGGTGAAGTTGGGCGCTCAACCGACTGAGCCACCCGGGTGCTCTTGAAAGGGAGATTTTAAACATTACTTTATGCAGTAGCCCCTTCGAGGCACAGGATTAACACACCAGCACTACTCACCTGTGCTCTGGGGTCAGGTGTAAGTTGTATTTTGTTGTGCTTATACCTGTTGTGTCTTTAGTTGTCCTGTGAACCCTGTTTATCATCTGCTTCCATTATTGTTGGCTGTTCATCTTATGGCCCCGTGAAGACCCAAGCACCAGCCATTAGTGGCAGGAAAAACAAGACAGAGCTCCCAGCTGGGTCACGGGAGGGGTTGGATCATAGGTTTGTCCCTTGAGTATTTAGCGATATGCTGTACATCTCTCAGATTATGACCCAAAAGAGCCAATAGAGATATTTTCTTGACTCTTAATGTCACCATTTGTTATTGTATTGTCCTTATGCTTGTGGGCAATTCTGGAATCTGGTTCTTAGAGGTCAGATGCACATCTAATCTTTCGGTTTCAGGTTTCCTCCCAGAAGGGGGTGCTGGATGGCTGGGAGGCGAGAGCACAGCAGGAACATTCACCTGTCAGGTTCCCCCTTGCCCCAGCAGTTTTAGCCTTATCTGAGCACACTTGCAGCTTCCTATTACCTCAGTTTCTAAGTGAATTCAAATAGAGAGTGTCTTTTGAACATTATTTGGTCATATTTTAGGGGAAGTCTGTATTAACTTCCGGTAATCCCAACAGGTCCGCTTTACCTGTGGGTTTATTTCTGGAGGATCAAATTGCACACGCATCGCACACACATGCACACCCCCCTACATACCTACAGACCACACACAGACCCCACACATCACACCCATACCACACCCCCCATTCTACACACTTACACCACACACTGCACGCATCACATACCACATACACGCTACCCACGCACAGACACCACATCCATAATGCACACACATACACACCCATATGCTCACGATTAATGCCCCCAAATTTCAGTCAGGGAAAGGAATGTGTGTGGGGAAGAAAGATAATTCCTGATATTTTAACATAAAGATGAAATATATCTATATAAATATATTAAATCATGATAAAACTATCCAAAGCAGCCCTGTTTATTTTTCATTTAGGGAATGTACTTTATACCACCTTATTCTAAGTTTCTAAAGTTATTTTTAGCTTTACCAATTTCCTATCTTTTGAATTAGATATGTGGTCTTAACATAATCATTTTACCCTGACTTAATTATGAAGTAATGTACTAGTCACAAGTAATTTTATTTTCGATCACCATCTTTAGTGGCACAACTGAGGTGCTTCATGAACACAGAGAAATTTAAAGAAACCATTTTATTTTCTTTCTTATATACTTATTTGGTTTACTTCCTGAAGTTTGTTAAATAGATAGTACTTAAATCCTGTGGCACTGAAAGCTGTGTGTTTAGGCTTTATTCAAAGTGGAGTCTCACTTGCCTTGCTGTAGAAAAAAGGACATATAAAAACTGTCGTATCCTTGTATGTCTGAAATGCCCCAGGGTCCTCAATCCTAATGTCCCCTCTGAGAGTCTGATATCTGTTAATTCAGTTTTCTTGAGACTTTCTGGTATCTACAGCTTAACTACAGGACTGTTACCATGCTTAGTATTCCTGCTGTGCAAGTATCCTCAGTTATCAGGACAATCTCCTAAAAACCTACTTTCTCAGAGTTTTATTGATATATATTCCACATACCATATAATTCATGTATAAAAATGGTTCAGTGGTTTTTTCGTATATATAGAGAGCTGGACAACCATCTCCACAATTGAATTTGACAACATTTTCAATACCACACACACACACACGCACGCACACACACACACACACACACCTATACACATTGGCTATCGTTCCCCATTTCTGCCTGTCCCTTCCCCAGCCCCATGCAGCCACTAAATCTACTTTCTGTTTCTATGGATTTGCCTGTTCTGACATTTCATGTAAATGGGACACAGTGTGTGGTCTTTTGTGACTGACTTCTTTTAGTTAGCAGAATGTTTTCAAGGTTCATCTATATTGTAATATGTATCAGTACTTCGTTGCTTTCAGTTACGGAATAATATTCCATTGTGTGCGTATACCACATTTGGTTTATCCATTCATCAGTTGATGAACATTTAAGCTGTTCCCACCTTTTGTCTATGATGAATTGTACTGCTATGAACAGTTGGCACAAGTTTGTGTTAGCATGCCGTTTTTATTCTCTTGAGTATGTACCTGGGAGTGGAATTGTCGGGTCATATGGTAACTCTTTGTTTAGCTTTTGAGGAAGTGCCAAACCTTTTCCTTAAGTGGTGACTTCGTTTTATATCCTTACCAGTAATGTATAAGGGTTTCAGCTTCTCCGCATCCTTTTCTACACTTACTTTGTCTGTCTTTTTGATTTTAGTCATCCTGGCAGGTGCGAGGTAGTATCTCATTGTGGTTGTGATTTGGATTCTCTGTAATGACTAATGATGCTGAGCATCTTTTCATGTGCTTATTGAGAAAAACTCACTTTTGATGTCTGCACACAGTCTGAGCCAGAAGTTCTAATTGTGTTCAAATGCAGTTTTGAATATTTCCCCCCTTTATGGAGTCTGTTTTGGTAGAGAGCAAAGAGGTTTACTGACCGATACTTGATGTCAGTTGCAAAGTTAGTTCAACATCTTTACCCTCCATTTTATGAAAAAAACATTGGCAACACCTTGTGGTGGCTTTCTGGTAGTAGATGAGGAAAAGTTATTGCTTAAAGATGTCTAATCTTAGAAAAATAAACTGTAAATTAAATCAATTTTGCTTGATTTTGAAGCTCCTATATTAATATTGTATGCTTTTCTCTACCCTTTGGAGAGGCCTCTTTTGTTTCAGTTCTTCCTAATGCCATACCTTTGATATGGCCCTCTATCAAGCTTATTCTCAGAGTAAGATGTAAAACACCTAGAGACTAAAAAGTACATCGTGGACAAAGAAATCTTGCTGTGTGTCTTTCCAAAAATTATTTTCGGGGAATGAAGGAATAAAGGACCAAAGTTCTAGTGGGTATTAAGGCAATATCCAGAGATGAAGATTTTCTTTGGGTAACCTATATCATTTGGGGTCCTTTCAGTTGTGTGTGATTGATAACTACACTGACAGTTGCTTAACGAAGGCAATGTATTGGCTTCCAGAACTGCAAGGGCTCCAGTAGAGTGACCAAGATCCATATTTCAGCTGTATCCTATAGATTGGCTCCATTCTCACGATTCTTGGGGTGATCTGTGGAAGCCTCCAGCTCATATTATCACATGTTTAGGAAAACAAGAGAGATTGATTCCCTGATATCCCACCCAAGTCTCAGAACTGAGTCTTCCTGGCCCCAGTTGTTCTGACCTGAGACATCTGCTTATCCCTGAATCAATGACTCTGGCCAGTATGTGGAACTGTCATTGACTTAGCCTAGTTCATGTGGTCCCCCACTAGATCCCATGCAGAGTCACGTCACTGGAAGCATTTGGGTTGAGGTTAGCAAGTTGTGGTTAAGAAGGGGGGTGGAGGTATGTGGCAGCATGAGAAATGATCATTATCTGCTCAAAGCCACATATCACATGGGGATTCCTTCTCTCAAAGGGCAGTTTTAGGAAGGACATTAAAAACTTATCAGGAGCAATGGTTCTCAAGCTTTAGATTATATATTAGTTTGCTAGAGTTTGCTTGTCCCATCAGTGTATTTTAGAAGCAGATAACTTGTTTCACAGATTCACAGATGGAGAGGAATTTTGCCACAGGATGAATCATTCTCTGAGTCTCACCAATACCACATTTAGATGCTATTTGGATTAGATTTTGGACTTAGAATTGATGTTGGAATGGGTTAAGACTCTTGGAGATGTTGGGATTGGGTGAATGCATTTTGCATGTGAGAAGGACATGAATTTGGAGGGAGCTAGATGGTGGACTATCACGAGTTCAGTTTTGTCCTTCCAAAATTTCTATGTTGAAATTCTAGTTCAAAAGTATCTTAGAATGTGCCCTTCTTAGAAATGAGGTTGTTGCAGATTTAATTAGTTAAGATGAGGTCAGGAGGGAGAGCCCCGAATCCAATGTGACCGACATCCTTCTAAAAGGAGGAAATTTGGACACAGAGACATACACAGAGGGAAAACACCCCATGAAGACTGGAATTCTGCCACAAGCCAAGGAACTGACAGAATCTAGGAGAGAGGCCTGGAACAGAGCCTTCCCTAGTGCCTTCGAAGGGAACATGGCGCTGTCATTACAAAGTACCATGAACTGAATGGCTTAGACAACAAAAATTTATTGTCTCATAGTTCTGGAAGTTAGAAGTGCGAGATCAAGTGTCAGCAGGGCCTGGTGTTCAGACCACGATGTCTCATGTTCTCAATTTGACTTCAACTGGGTTTATTGTTATTGCTTTTTAAAAAATTTTTATTTTAATAGAGGAAACAAAGGTGTCTGAAGATGACGAAATGGAGAGACTCTACAAATCGTTGGAGCAAGCTAGTCTCTCTCCTCTCGGGGACCGACGGCCTTCAACCAAAAAGGAGCTGAGAAAGTCCTTTGTGAAGCGATGTAAGAATCCATCCATAAATGAGAAACTTCACAAAATCCGAACCTTGAACAGCACATTGAAGGTAAAAAATTTCAGATTGTGGATAAACTCTGGGTGTGGGGCAAGGAATGGCTGCTTCTGCAGAGATTCATGCCCACCGGTGTGTGTGTTTGGGTGGAGGGGAGGGCAGTAAAAGTAACTATAATCTCTGTAGGTTAGGATGACCTTTGGCCTCCTTAAAGTACTAGAACGTTTGCACAGTAGCACCAAATGCACTTTTCTACAATAGGCCTTGATTTTTACATTCACTTTGGTATAAAAATTCAAATGTCAAGCTCCTAGAAGATAAGGACCATGTGTAATTTTTTCTGTACCCTTTACTTAGCACAGTAAATGTTGATGAAGGCTTGGGATAGTCAACTTGTGAGAATAAACAGTGAGATTCATAAGATTTTGGAATTTCATTGGATTCCTTAAAGAGTGCCATTCTGCTTCTCTCCTACTTCCAGAAGAAAATATCTAGATTTCAGATAGAGCCAAGACTTCATGATTCTCAGACGTAGGCTCTGGAGGGAAGAAACACGTGAGAGACAGGCAATGGAAAAGGTACACTCGATGGTAATAGACTAGCAAGTGTTTTCACAATGGGAATGAGGCACAGGGCGCAAAACGTACTGAGGCTATTTCCAGGTCCTCTTCAACTAAAATGGTTCTTCACAACAAAAGCATCCTGCTTTCACATGTAGATTATAGCATGAACAGGAGGAGGCCAGGAGACTTTGTAAAATAGTCCCAAATTAGCAGAAGATTTATAGATGCTGAAAAGCCTTGATAGATTCTGCAGTTTCATCCTGGGTTGTATATGTCCTTTTGCATCAAGAATTTGAGTCTCTTTCCAGGAAGAAATAGCAATCAAAAGCCAAGGCTACAAAGAAACGGCTGAGGGACTCTTCGTCAGATGTCCCTGTTAGTAGAATAGCTAAGCATCCTAAGAGGCTGCAAAAATGAGGCTGAAAAAGAAAAGGAAGAGGAGTATTTTAATTATACAAAGAAAAACAAAGTGTAGAGAAATTCTCTAACGTTTAATGATCGACATTAGCAGCACTCCTTTCAGAGCCAAAAATGTTCTATTCCATGGTATGTATGAAATTGATAAACATGTTTGGTCATTCAGTGTAGTATTTTACGATCTTATTTGTGATAACTGATGTGAGTGAATACATTTTTCATTAGACCAATATTTCCTGAATCTTACTGTGTACGAGGCTCTATTCTTGGGCACTGGGACCACTGAGTGCCCCACACTGGATGGTGGAACAGAGAGGAAAATAGAATGTGGTCTGCTGAGCGGTGTAGCTGATACAAGCTTGGGTGCTTTGGTAGCCCCAGAGAAGGGACATGGCTGCCTATCTGAAGCCATTAGGGACAAAGTCATGAAGATGCTGAGAACTGGTCCGTGAGTAAGAGATGAAGAATATTAGGGTTAGAAGGAAGGACATTCATGGAGGAGGAAATGTATGTCAATGGATGATATATTGCAGTCCATGTTGGGAGAAACAAGGAACATGTTAAGGAGAGGATGGACAGTTCAAGCCATTTCTAGAAGGAGAAAGACTATGGTCTTAGCAGAATAGCTAAGCACAGAATAGCAACTCAGGACTCTAGATGGTCACAGGACCATGCCCTGACCTGGCCACAGGGAGGCCAGGTTTGTACAAAGAATTCAAAGCTTTTATTGGCCCATAATATGATTCTCTGTGACCTCTTGCTCTCCATGCACTGTGGCCATGGAATTTATGAATTCAGCTTTTTCTTTTCTCCCTGTGTATTAGTTATCTATTGTGAGGTAACAACCCCAAATTTACCAACTACAGACAATGAACATTTGTCTTTTCACAGTTTCTGTGGGTCAGGAATCTTGGCATGGAGCTAGATGTTTCTTTTCCAGGTCTCTCACAGACTGCAATCCCGGCATCAGCCGGGACTTTGTTCATTCCTCCATTGGGGAAGATGTGATCCTAGGCTCTATCTATCATATGGTTGTTGGCAGGATCCAGTTCCTTGCATGTTGTTGGATTGAGGTCCCAGTTGTTCACACATTTCCTTGCTCTGTGAACATACGGTAGCTTCCCAAATGGAAGTTGGCTTTCCCCAGAGTGAGTAAGACAGGAACAGTGAGTGAGCAAGATGGATCAGTCCTGTCTCAGCTGTGACACCATATTACAGTTACAGGGCACTGTGCATTAGGAGCATAAAACTTTGGTATAAAAGTCAGCCCGTGTTCAAGGAGGGGAGAATTACATAAGGGTGGGAATGCCAGGAAGGCAAGGAGCATAGGGGGCCATCTCGGGGGCGTCTACCACACCCATGTGAACATCTGTTGTCTCTGTACATTGCTGGAAAGGATCCCTTTCCACAGGATCCCTTGGGCCTCGCAAAAATGTAATGCTAGGCTGCAGAAACATAATCCATGTTATACGGTCCTCCTGTGAACCTCATCATGAGGGGGAAGTCATGCTGATGCGGAAATTGGCCTTTTGGGGAAAAAAAGCACATCGGCCTATTTACTGGAGAAAGATCGTTCAGTACGTGTATGATTATTCATGTCAAAAGTCTTTAAGACTTACTTTAGCTATTTTTAATCGAATCACATTTCATTAGAATTGTTTTAAAATTCAGAGCAGTTGAGGGGAACAGGAGAGATGCCTGGAAGGGGCCACAGTACAGCTTCTCAGGTCACCTTCTGACCTCAGTGGTGGCTTGGTTACAAGATATGTCCATTTCGTGGTAATTCATCAAGCACAAGCCTTTTTATATGAGTGCTTTTCTGTACATATTACATTGTAATATAAATGTGATTTGAAAAATACTTCAAAGATACGGTGTGGACAAACACACCGTTTCATACAGAAACAAGGAAACTTCTAACAATAATGTTTATGTTAGTGATAGGCACATTCCATAAATAAAGAAAAATCCCTGCACTGGGATTGTATTGGAACAAATTCTCTTCATGGGAATTCTTCCAGGATGTTGAATGAACTATCATGTCATATACTAAATGTAGATCTTTAGGAAGTTGTGATAACTCAACATCCATTGACTTTTGGCTAAACATGTCTTTATTTTAAAATGAACGATTAATGGGTCTGCCTGGAACTTTCTCTCAGGGTTATTCTGGTCTGTGTACAAAGAGAAACAAACCCTCCTTTCCTCAACTGCTCTGGTAGAAGACATTTCCAGCGCTTAGTTCTTGAATCAGGCACTGACTATTTGGAGTGAAAAAGGAAAGTATAGCATTGTCTCTTTCATGGTATTATCTGGAAGCCCTGCCAGACCCGGCCTGCCTACCAGAAGACCAGGAGGATGTCGTAAAGGTAGTTCAAAGCGTCCGGTGGGCCTCCTGCACCACAGCAGGGAGAAGCAGGGCCAGTGCACCATGCTGCTGACTGAGTGCTGGGCTAGGAAGCAGTTCAGAGGCTTTTTTTGTCTTATTAATTTCCTTCCTTTCTATTCTCGTCTACAGTAATTTCTTTTTATCCGTAAAAGAACTTAACACAGACTTGAGCCAAACGGTAAGAAACTTGAACTGCTTAGAGCTGAGCACTATATGAGAAGTGTCAGGCCAAAGTTGAAGAGACCCTTTCCTGAAACCTTTGATCACATTTAGAGGGGTGGTTTATTCATTTTGCCTTAAGAGAATCAATTCTTCACATTGTGTTACTCTGCAAAGATCTTCGTTCTTTTGATAAAATATTAGGATCTCTCTCTGAAGTGGATGTCACAATTTTTTTGTGTGTGGAAGAAACTAGAGATTTAAAAATTTCTTATGGAGTTTTAAGTTTTCATTCCCGTATAGTTAACATAAAGGGTTATATCAGTTTCAGGTGTACTATATAGTGTTTCAGCACTTTTGTACCACACCCGCTGCTCATCATGAGAAGTGGACTCTTTAAACTCCATCACCTGTTTCACCCCAGATGTCAAAATTTAGGGACAAAATAAAACTCCTTAAATAATTTCATATGAATAGCACTATTGTGATACCAAAGGAAGAAAGCTTATTTATTTTTATTTTTATTTTAGAGGGGAAGATTGTTATCTGAATGTAGGTGTTGAGAACTCAGAGGGAAGAGAGAAAACTCCCTTGGCCTTGCTTGACTTTCTACCACCCATCTTTTCTAGTTATCCACTCGTCTACCCTGCCTTCCCTCTGCTTCTGGTTCACGGTCAACCTGCTTGTTATCACTCCTTGGTTACTTTACCACTACACAATTTTTCTTTCCTTTCTGGAATCCATATATATATATATATGTATGTATGTGTATTTTAACCTCCATCTGTCACCACATTATTGCTCTCTTGATTCAGAATTATAAATCTTACCACTCAGACTACTATGTACATAGTACTTTATTGGAGATCCACATTTCAAGAAAACAGGAAAAAAAAAAGAAGCAAAATGTAGTAAAATGCCCCAAGTAAAACATAAGTTAAAGTGTGAAGAACAAATAATACGTTTTTGTGCCAATGTTTGTGATCATCTAAAACCAGATCCCTCATTTGGATCGAATAAATGCTACCAGTTCTAGAATCTCTAAAACGATGTGCAAATGTATAGATATAAGTATCTATATATTTATATGTAAACAAATAGGACGTATGTAATAAATAATATGTATATAAAATACACACATACATATAAACATTTTTGTTTGTTTATGGAGAGGATTTCCTTAGGCTCTAAATAGAGTTCACGATATAAAAAAGATTTAAAAGCAGAGGTGCCTGGGTAGCTCAGTCACTTAAACATCCAACTCTTGATTTTGGCTCAGATCACGATCTGTGGTTGGTGAGTTTGAGCCCCGTGCTGTGCTCTGTGCTGACAGTGCAAAGCCTGCTTGGAACTCTTTCTCTCTGCCCTTTCTCTGTGCTCTCACTTCTCTCTCTCTCTCTCAAAATAATAGACATTAAAAAAAGAGATTTAAAAGCAAATGGGTAATTATTCATTCACATTTTATTTCATATATTCTTTCTTTTTCCAGCAAGCATTTAGTGAATGTCTACCACGTATGAACCATTCTTTGATGCACTTGGGGTCTCACAGTGGGCATACGAGACAAAAATCCCTTTCCTTAAGAAGCTTAGGTTTAGGTAGAGGAGAAAATAAAAATAAGTAAATAAATCAATTTTATAGTACGCTAAATGATGATAGATTTGATAGAGAATAGAAGTGGGGGTGAGGAATGCTGATGGATTTTTAATTAGGAAAGGCATGAAAAGCCTTTTGAAAGATGAAATTTGAGTGAAATCTGAAAAGAAGGGAGTGAGTCTTGAGGCTATCTGAGGCAGAACGTTACAGGCAAAGAACAAAAATGCAAGTGCCTTGGTCCGGGAATGCCTAGTAGGCTTAAGGAAGAGCAAGGAGGTAGTTTGGCTGGAGTGTTTTGGGGGGCTGGAGCACGGGGAGAACAGCTCAGAGGGGCAATGGGGGATTCCATCACATAGTGCCTTAGTGCCACTGCTAATACCTTAACTTCAACTCAGTGAGATAGGAAGCCTTTGGAAGGTTCTGAACACAGGTGTGCTGTAGTTTGACATATTTGGAAAGTAGAGCTCCGGATTTGCTGGTGGACTGGCAGTGAGAGAAGGAGTCAAGGGTGACTCCAGTGTTTGGCCTGAGCCACTGGAAATGTGGAATTGCCATTGGATGCTTTGCAAAAGGCCATGGCGGGAAGAGGTTTCAATGAGTACTGGAAATTGGGGTGGGTGGGACACTTAGAGAATAATAGGAGCCTCGTTTTGGAGGTGTTACATTTGAGATGCCCTGTTCACGTCCAGGTGGAGCTGCAGAAGAGGGGGTGTAGACAAACAAGTCTGAAGTTCAGGGGAGAGATTAGGCTTGCAAAATAAATTTGTGACCCTTAGTGCATAGGGAGAATGGGAGACATGAGATTACCAAGAACGTGGATGTACATATAGAGGCAGCTAAAGGCTGAGATTCTAGAGCTCTCCAATCTTAAGAGATTGGACTAGAATGAGGAATCAGCAATAGAGATTTAGAATAAATGGCCATTTTGGGGATGAGAAAAATGTGTCACAGAAATGACGCGATGAAAGTGTTTAAGAAGGAGGAGCCGATAGTTTTAGATGCTGTTGCTAAGTAAGTTAATGATAGTTACTGGATTTAGCAACATGGAGGTCATTGATGGCCTGAGCAAGAGGAGTTCGGGTTGAACCGTGATGGGCGTGGTTCTATGAGAGAATGGGCAAGGGGACATTGGAGACAAGGTGAGGAGTAGAGCCTTTGCTGGAGCAGGGATGTGGGCTTGAGAAGGCTTTGAAGATGGGAGAGGTAACGGCACATATGATGAGCAAGTAGATAGAGATGGGAAGTTAATGAGTCACAGGGAAGAGGGGAGAATTGCTAGAGTGGGTTTCTTGAGTATGAGGGAGTGGGTGACAGTGCACAAGTGGAAACTGGCCTTTGCTAGGAGCACAGATATTTTATCCAAAAGAACAGGAAGCAAGGCAGGGATGCACTTGTGTTGATATAGGGAGTGGGCAGTAGGAACTTGGGAGAAGTGTTCTTTTGATTGTTTCCATTTCCTCAAAAAAAAAAAAAAAAATAGAAAACAAGGTCTTCAGCTGCAAAGGAGGGTGGGGGAGGGAAGGAGATTTGGGAAGAGATGGAAGGTTTTGAAATAGTAATTTGGGAAATTGGGAGAAAAAAGGGGTAGGAAAGTGAAAGGCACTTAGTGGCACTGGTCATATAAATTTGAACTACAACCCCTGATTCTGGTTGTGAATTTTTAGCTACACGCATGGTGGCCTGGGAATAGGCAGAAAGATTGGTTTAAAATAAACATGTATTGACTGTCTCCCTGGCACTTGGCATTGTGTTACGTGCAAGACACACGGGAATGAATAAAATGTCAATTTTCTTAAGAAGCTTTAGAATACGGGGTACGTGCGTGGCTCAGTCGGTTAAGCGTCTGACTTCTGCTCAGGTCACGATCTCACAGTTCGTGAATTTGAGCCCCGCATTGGACTCTGTGCTGACAGCTCGGAGCCTGGAGCCTGCTTCGGATTCTGTGTCTCCCCATCTCTCGGCCCCTCCCCCACTCATGCTCCGTCTCTCTCTCTGTCTCTCAAAAATAAAAAAACACTTAAAAAAATTAAAAAAGAAGCTTAAGAGTAGGTGGCATGACAGATCCATGAACATCTAAGTATAACATGTTAAGTTCTAAGCATTGGAAGGCATGAGAGCATAAATAAAGCTTCTCAGTGCATTTAGGGGTTCAGAGAAGATTTTCTGGAGAACAGGATGCCTGAAGTGAGGATAGATTTATGAGTTATAGTAAAATCCGGTTAAGAAAGATTGGAAACTGTTCCATGTGAAGGCAACTCCAGGAAGTAGAGTTCACCAGAAGAAAGATATGGAAGGTCCTGCCTGTGGCACAACATGTGGAGTGTGGACTGGCATCGTGCGGGGCGGGGGGGCGGGAATGCACATCGACACAGAGCAGAAAATGAGAAGGGCGTGGGGATCAACAGATAGAGCTCAAATCCTTAGGACCTTGGACATGAAGGAGGACCATTCAGAGGACTCGGCATTCTGGGTGGATGTCCTGCACGGCCCGTGGAGGGTGGATTTAAAGTGAGGATTAGGGGCAGGGACACATCAGGTGTGATGAATTGGATTAGGATTATGGTCAGATGGATGATGGAAACAAGAACAGATTTGAGATAAAATTTTCAGGACTGAGCGACCGTTATTGAACGTGGAGGCTGTTACACCTCATTTTTCTCTCATTCCTTGGCTACAGAACACTCTCTTCACCTGACCCAGGCATTTCAGACATGTGTGTTACTGGTTACAGAGGAGGCAGGGTAAAACAATACAGATAGATCGTTTGTTCCATTAGTATCATCGAAACACATACTGTTTTGATGGGAAGCTAGTAGTCTTTTCTTTGAACAAAAAGGTAGCCTATATATTTATTCAGTGTGTGTTAACTAAATAAATGCACGTGAGTTATTAAAAATGAAGATAATTTAATAAAGATATATTTTGTGCCATCTTGTGTCTTAGGG